TATTACATATTAACCCAGAATGGTAGGAAACAAATTCCATAAGTCTAATGCAGAATGGGAAGGATAAATATTCAAATAATAATTTGTGTCCATGAACTAATAAGCTAAAGTTATATCCATTGCCAAAAGAGAAGAATGCTAGTGTAAAGAGTATAATCTAAAGACATGTGTCAAGTCAAACCCTTCTCACCTTAATAGATTGCACGGCACGTACATAATCTTTCAAGGGTTCTTCAAAATTCATTAACAGTTGTTCGGCCTACAAAGAGACGAAAATATATGGTAATACGATAACATATCATGATTAGCTGTTAAACAAAATGGAAAACAAAAGGAACGCATGCAAAGAACAAACAAACACACCATAGACACTGGAACACCAATGATATACTGGATTCTCAATTAAAGCCTACCTCCTTTTGCAGCTTAATTGATAATGTCTCCGACTTTGCCCCAAGCTCGGTAAAGGCCTTTCCAAGAGCATTACCTTCACAAGTTCCTAGGAGCTTGGCTGCTTTCCCAAAATCTGCTAGAGACTGTCCCAGTTCTGCATAAATATAGTTATAAAGAATCACATTCTAACCATATTCTGAATTCAGAATAAGGAAGTGCAGCCGAAAAGCCCCTAATAGAGTAAAAGAAAAAGGTTAAGAAAGAACATCGAGCCTTTAAATCGTCGTTACCTCTGTGCCTCTTTACAAGACGGTATGCATGCTTCTGGGCTTCAGCCAAGTGGTTTTCAAGCTCAAAAATGTAGTGTTTCAACTTCTCATATTCAGGATTTGACTCTTCCACCGGCTTTTCCTTTCCAAGAACCACATCGCTCACTTTAGATTGTACATCCTGTTAAATACAGAGCCGCATTATTCAACCAGACAAACTCTCAAAAAGGAAAGCTACTTACTAGTTGAAGTAGCCTATTCAGTTCAATAAATACAATAAATGCAAAAGACATGAAGCAGTGGAAAGGATTGCCCCTTATGCTTGCACTTGACAAGACACTAAAAGCATTTAAACAAACAAAAAAAAAAGAAAAATAAACTTGAAGGACGTCAGAAAACTTCAACCTATTAACAAGAATAGTAATTGTACAATTGCAATTGAATATTCTCCTACATTTATTTCCACGTGATAAGTGTTCCATTTTTTATTTGGCTTGACAATCCAGAACATAGATCATTAACCTGACAATGAAAATAGAGGGTTGAGAATAATTGCTAATGTGCACTATTTTTCACACTGAATATAGTGACAATTTTCTACAGATTTCCAGTACCTGCATATGAGGATTTAACCTTTCAATCTTCCCATTACAGAATACATATCATAGAAAAGGAAAGATAACAACCAGAAATCCATCCATGATAAGCAGAACAAGGTACTGAACGTTTCTAATTCATGAAAAATGCCTTTTTAGGAAGGGAAATATCCAGGGAGACAGTTAAGTCTTAAAAACACCATGCAGAATCAATGTTACCTTGAAGATTTGCATCCAATCTGCTGGCTTCTTAAAGATACCAGTCTCATGAAACCTTAACCTCTCCATTGTCTGAAAAAAAGCATATAAACACGTCAACCATTCTGAAGTCTGACAGAGGTGCCTGATAAGTTATTGAGTATTGACTTTCATAGTAGTAACACAAGAATAACTGTGTGACTCAAGGCATCACTTTAGAAACACCACCTCTTCATCTGCTTGTAAGAAGGTTCTCAGATCCTCACTTTGCTGAAGTTCATGATGTGAAGCTATTCGGTTAACAAATACATCCAATGCTTGACGCCTCATCTCAATGAATTCAGCACTGAAACGGAACTTCTCTGCATTAGGGACTGAAGTTAGTCACTGTATACAAGTGCTCATAATCTTGCATTTTCTTTTTCCAGTAACTACTAAGTATAGCAACGAGCATAGACTCCAAAGGTTAAAGATTTTCAGTGCCAAAATCACTCCAAGCATGGTTATAAACTGATGTGGAACGAAAGTGAAGGCTGCCCTAAATGAATGGGTGTTTTAGTCTTTTAATCTCAAGGGCTTTGGTATGTCAATATTTAGGGTTCTAGTCTTTTAATTTCCTACTTTTAGAAGGTTTAAGATTCTTTCCAGTTTTATTGGGGCTAGATTTGGTTTCCTATTCTATTTTGGATTAGAATTTCTTTCCTATAATGGGTTTACTTTCCTGCGTTATTTAGGTTTAAGGCATTATAAATATCCTTGTAATTCCAATAGTAAAGACAAAGAAAAGTTTATGAATAAAAGTTTAGTTAAATTTCCAACAATAGTAGTTTATTTGGAGTGATTCCAAATTCCAATTCTTGGTGCGAGACCAAGAACGGGTGCGAGGCCCCTGGAGAGAGTCAGTTTATCTTTTAATTTCATTTTGTTTAAAGTTTTCTGTGTTTCTGGTTCTGCTAACTACTCTAATTCCACTGCCCTAACATACATCATAAACCCACAAAAAAAGAGTATCCTTAGGGTTGGCTATAACAGCCTTCACCTTGGCACTATCACAGTTCCTTCATTCACAATTTGAATCAACAACCAAGATATCTATAACTAGCTAGTTAAGGCATGCATGAATATGCAAGTACATAAATTTAGGCATGGCAAAACAATGCACATGATGAGGTAAACATAGGATTTTCTACTTTACAAGCACAAAACAATTCTAAGAAAAAAGGGTATAGTTATGTTGTTACCTACGGTACTCTTTTCTGGAAGAGGGGGAATAAAAATTCCTTTGTACTTTTCAAAGAGACGGTCCTGTAGCCAAACAAAATCATTGTAACGTCGAATAACAATCTTCTCTGGCCCTTGGTATTCAGGAAAATTTGTCTGAAAAAACAAACATAGCATAGATGTGAATACTCAAAAATAGAAATTAACCATTATAATAGCATCAAAACAGACGCAAAAACAAGATTTAAAAAGCATGTTTATAGATCACATGCTCATCCAATTCACTAAACATGCTCAAGTTCAAAAGATCCATTGAAAAACATCATTTGTTTGCACACATTTTATAACGAGAATCACTGATGTGTGATTAATGCACCATTGGCTCCAATCCAATCAATCATCACATTTTCCATCACACCAATAAGCAAGATACTTGTTAGCTTGTTTCAAATTAATTAGCAACGAAGCACTAGGAAGAAGCTATGGTACATAAAGCTAGAAGAGTTATCATTTCGCGGAGCATTTTGAATGACCGTGCTAATACAAATTCTGATTTTCTGTCTTTCGATGCCCAGGTACGGAGGAACCCCCTTTTTCAACTTCCTTGGTTTCTAAGACCTATTCTCACATTAACCGAATTGGTCATTCAGTACATCAAATTCCCCTAACAAAGTGAGAATTTATATCTTCCGCACACTCTGAGATAAAACCAACCATGCAATTACTGTTAATTACGCAATCAACGGATTCACAGAGACCCTTACCCTAATCAAAACAAAGCCTACAATCAAAAGCAGAAATTGAGAGTGAAATGACGAAATTACCTTGGTGATCACTCGGTAGGAGATGTATGCCTGGACGCCATTGCCCAATTTCACAGGATCAGTAACTGAGACCGACAGGTACGGCTGCGACGACGGAGATCTAGGGCTCTGCGACGACCCCGATATGCTTCTCTGCTGCTCCATGCAAACACAATCAAACGCCGACAGAAACGAAGATTTCAAACTACGAGCAAATCAGTGAAACAAAGACCCAACAGAAGAAGACGAAGAGGAAGAGATGAGTTGCAGGTTCGTAATTACCGTGGTAAGCATGGCGGCGTTGAGATGGAGGTCGGGTCGGGTCAATGAAGAAGACTGGGCGAAACGGAGCTCTGCGAGATTTCAATCGGATAGTCCACCAGAGAGCAAGTGGTGGATGTGGAAGTGGTGAGTTGGATATCTTGCTGCGTAAATGAGCAAGAAAAAGGAATTGCTTGTTTGTTGGTATTGGTGAATACGAACAACAAAATGTATTTGTATATTAGTATTTTTCTTTATTAATCTATTGTATGCATTTTTTATCACCATTCCCAAGCGGTGGAGAGCGTGTGTCGAGAATATGTTGCGGTGCTTTAAGTGTCATAATATAATAGGTTGAAAATTTTAAAAAAAAAAGTTTTTGAACCAATTATATTATGACACTAAATATACTGAACTATGTTTCTAGCACAATGAAAAATTTCTCCAAATAGTGTAGAGATTTTTCAATGTGACGATAACAAGATTCGATACACCACTGTCATAATAGAAGTTGTAACGGTTGAGCTATTAACTTAAGGAAGCAAACTCAAGCCAAGTAAATTAGGACCAAGTTGTGTAGAAAATAATAGTTATCATGTTAAGTTTTCATAGTCAGGTCAACGACCCACTAGTAGTCCCACCGATGGGGTCCTAACTTATCCACCTGCACAACTCAACATGTGTTTGATTTTATCACAAAAGATTTATGTGCAATTAGGAGTGAAATCATTTTATATAAGTAGAAAATTATTTTGTGAAATTTGGGTTTCTTTTCTCAAACAATAATACAATCTATACTTTTATCCACTTATAGGTGAGACGTTTTAAGTTTATCTCTCATAATATCAAATTATTTTTTTGTCAAATAATAATACAAAATTATTCTCGCTTGCATATTGCACGACTTAACTCAAATCTCTTACCCTTAATACAAATATATCGTTTATATTAAAAAAAAAATTTGCCCAATACTAAACGAGTCAGATTAGATTTCTCCTATTCATGTCATAACAATTATCGAATTGAAACTTTATAAACAGATCCATATCCGAGCCGAACCTAAATCCGATTTATTAACAGATCAATCTTCAAGAATGGTCTTTTTTGTTTATCAACATCGTAACGTTTGGGAAATTATATATAATAACTTTCCTAAAATCCAAAGATAAAGGTTTAGGCCTACGTGACTCACTAAAATCCAAACTCCCAAAAACCATCGCCCACCACATCCTTTTTATTCCCCGAAAGCAACTCCCACCCCCAGCATTTTCTGGTGCCCTTCTCTTCTCTTCTCTTCTCGTCTCCTCTATTTCCCACAAAACTCCGCGTCCCTCCGCCGCATCGAAACCCAAAAGTCTCCTCCTTTTCCCCCCTTTTTATTCCCCCAAGAAATCCGAACCATGGATTCCACCAGCTTCTGCAACCAGCAATCGCCGTCGTCGGATCGGCTGCTCGGCCTCTTCTCCTTCTCTCCGCCCTCAGCCGCCGCCGCCGGCGAGGAGCTCAACGAGGCCGAGGTCTTCTGGACCAACGACTTCACCGAGCCCACCGCCGACACCCCAAACCCCCGACTCAATCTGACTCGTCGCGTCAACTCCGGAATACTCGCGGTCCTCCCGGAACCGGGTCAATCGGCAAAAGTCTTGTACCGGAAGCCGACAATTTCGTCATCGTCGAAGCCCATCCCTTCAATTCCGAGACTTTCGCCGTCCCAATTACAGTCCCAGTCGGTGCCGAATTCGAGGAAGATCCAGAGCTCGGCCCCGATGATGGTGCCGGTCCTGTCCCGGGCGGTGGAGAAGCACAGCAGAAACGACGATCTGGCGGATGTGGTGGACGACGACGACGGGGGAGACGACGAGATGCTGCCGCCGCACGAGCTGGTGGCTAGGGGGTCGGGGGTGTCGGATAGGACGACGTTCTCGGTGCTGGAAGGCGTGGGGAGGACGCTGAAAGGTAGGGATTTGCGTCAGGTTAGGAATGCGATTTGGCGCAAGACTGGGTTTCTTGATTGATGATCAACAATTCTACAGAAATCTCTAGTATTTTTTGGTAATTTCGATTTTCTGCTTTTGGTTGATCAAGAATTGTGGTTCTTTTTTAATGCCAAGATTAATTGGGGGAATTTTTTTTTTTTATATAATACCCAATTGTTATTTTTGATTCTGGGTAATTAGGTCAAGTTCTATATTTTGATGTTGCTATTGCTTATGTTTACGGTAATTCCATAAGATGAAATCGGATTACGGATTATGGAGAATGACTTACATGAAATGAGATAAACGGATTATGAAGAATAACTTACATGAAACGAGATAAACGGATGACGGATTATACTAGAATGACTTATATGAAACGGATTTATCCTCTTTTCACACATCTCATTGAATCATCACTCTTGCCAACCCCACTTCCAAACTAAATTGCAAGATAGTAAATTTGATTCTACTAACTACATTATAAATTAACCTTCTTAATCCAACCATAGAAACCCTAAAATCTCAAAATTGCAAACAAATAAGTAAAAGAAGTCACAAACAAGTGGGGTTTTGCTAATTTGAAGGTTTAGTGAACTAAGCTCAGCAATTAACAAGATATAATGATGGAAAGCAGTCAGACAAATCCAAATGCCTCAAATAATTAAGTTCATGAAAAAAGATTTCTCCTTTTTTCACACATCTAATTGAATCATGACTCTTGCCAAATCCCACTTCTAACTCAAACCAATTCATAAAAATAAAAAATAAAAAAAAATTGCAAAAAAAACCTAATAAGGATTAAAATTTAAAATGTTACCCACCCAAGAGATATTTAGCAGTTTAACTAGTGAGCCAGAAGCTCCCCAATTGACTGAAACACCCAGAATCAAACAGCATGGAAGTTATCTGCCTCAGGGTTTCAAAAAGAAAAAAAAAAAAAAAAAGAGATGGAAAACAGAGCAATGCCTCAGAAAACCCAGGTGGGAGGAGAGGAGGGTTTCAGAATGAAAACATGCCACGCCACAGTAATTAAGGTGGATATTTATGCAAATCACGCCATACTCATGCCTATTCATCATGCCAAGCTTCCTCATGCTAGTCATTATTTTTGCTAAGCCCAAGTTACATACTGGGGGCTTGTCAAGTGAATTGTGGTGTGGATGGTTACGGAAAGTTATTGGGCCTACACGAAATCGAGGTTATGGAAGACTTTGGGCTGCTTAGGGGCCTAAGGATCCAAGCCCATACCTTTTTCATTTCACATAGGCAAACATTGAGAGAGAACTAGCCTAGTTTACCTCTTTCTTTAGCAAGCCAACACTCTTAGTTAGGACTAAATTAGATTCCTGCATTAAATATATGCTAAACCCAGCAAGTCAAGCATTTAATGCTGACTTTCCTTCATAGCTTGCATAGACAACCAACGCACGAAAGCCATGAGGCACGTTACCAGAAGTAACGCCAGCGGAAAGCAGGCCTGGAAAAAACCATGCCTCGAGAAGAAGCAGAATGTAGGTTTCAACAGTGCAGCTCCCTTACACCAAAAGGTAACTAGTATGAGGCTTCTAGATTTAGGATGCATGCCTGGGTGGCTGACAACTCGTGACATCTGGGTACATTTGGTGAGTCCTCATCCCTCATCTCGCTAGGAGCTGCTCAGTCAGCATCGTGCTCGAAGTTCTTCTTGGTAACCAGAGGTGGAATCTTTTCCAGGAATAAATGATGAGGAAGAATTCACCAAGTTTATAATTGGCGATCAATTTGGTAGTCGGCATGAAAAATTGATGCCCAACTCGACTGGGAACTTGTCGCCAAACATGTTGGAAGTATCAACTGAATTAGCAGAGTTAGCAACGTAGCTACAGATTGACTGCTCGAAGTCTTGAGCTTCTCGGTTGTCATTTTCGGAGTTTGAGGCAATTGATATCGTGTGCTCTACTCTGATAATTAGGCGCTTGTTACTATAGGATGTCTTAGGCCACTCAGTCTACCAGTGTTGGGGAGTCCTACTTTATCATACCTTCTAGATTTGCCGAAAATAGCCTTATCGGAATTTACACGCGGTAGCGACGGCTGAGAAATTGAATTTCACAACAAAAATGACAACTACGTTCAAAGTTTTTTGAAGATTTACAAACGAAGAGTGCAAGAGTGGAAATTTTACCGAAAGGAAAGACGATGAAAATTAAAGGCTTGAGGAGGCAGTTTTCAAGTTGTTGAAAAAGTCACGAATCAAATTTGCTGGAGTTTTGACAGAGAATGCAAAGTAGAAAGAAAAGGTTACGACAAGGGGAGGGTTATATAGTCCCGAGCACTTAATCTCGGTCGTTGGTGATGGGATGCTTAGGCGACCAGATTGCGACAAGTCGCAGTTCATTTACTTTGGTTTTGAGGCTGAAGGGACTCCAAAAAAACACTATGGTGCATGAGGTCACGCCTGTCTGCTACGCCTTCAATAGCCGATATGATAGTTGGGCGAAGAGAGCGAGGCTCCGTATTTTTCCGTTGTAGAAAACAGATCCCTTCCTTTCCTCCCTCCCCCGAAATAATTTGATCTATGGACAACATTGTTATGGTAAAGGTCGTATTGCCATAATAATCATTACCGTAGGGCATAGAGAAGGAGGTCATAAGCGTCTATACCGTAAAATTGATTTTCGACGGAATGGAAAAGACATATATGGTAGAATAGGAATGGCCCAGTCCACATGTATCATTTAATGAAAACACCTTGGTTACTCTGCCAGTGTGTCAATGACACGTAACCCGTCCACACTAGGGATGACAATTCTAACCGTTAAAACCGATAACCGTGGATAACCGTCTAAATAGATTGGATTTTGGTATGAAAACTCGGGTATATTTTTGAATATGGGGAAAAACCGTGAATAATATTCGGTTATGGTTTTGGATATGGTTATAGGGTCCCCAATCCGTATTCGTCTCCGAATCTGAACCAAATTATATATAATATAATTCATAGCATTTATATATATATATATATATACACATATATATATATATTATTCACTGAATCTATTACTTTGAGAATACAAAAGTTGCATTGTGTGAGTTGCATTTTGTGGGCAAGTTAAAAAGTTTTGATATGAATCAAAATTTATGAGAATCCAGACCAATAATACTTATGAGAGATATCAAAGATCAGCCGACATTATCGATGTTTAGCTTTAATTTTTATGCTCCACAAGATTCATTCATGAAATCATTTTATACATCAAATATTTAATGACAAAATAAATATTTACTAAATTATCATGCGTCAATTGAACGAATATATTTTTTGTATTGACGAAGATGGGTATAACAGTTAACCGATAGGGAATCCGTTATCCGGTGGGTATGGTTATGGATAATACCCGATGGTTAAATTACGGTTATGGATATGGTTAATTTTTGTGGTTATAGGGATGGATATAACATTTCCGTCCCCCAACCGAATCCCAAACCAAATCGTTGCCATCCAGGAGTCTCCATCTTCCACCTAAAATTATTTAAGTGTTGTAACTAATAAAGAGATTGAAATTAAATGATGTAATTTGTCCAACTCATTTGCCACCTAAGATGGTTAAGAAATGTAGTATAAAATTGTAGTAAGAATAACATTATTCTTGTTTTATCTTTGTGGTCCAATTAAGATTCTCCGTGTGTGATCACATGTCAACCGCAAACAAGACCAGCACCTTAGTTGGCTACCTGCTATTTGCACGTGTAACTCACCTTTAAAATTGAAACACGCAATAAATTAACTCATCTCAATGATTTGAGTAGTGGGGATCCTTGTTTAGTAATAAAGAAGTTTACTAGCTAAACCGTGATGATTTTGTTGGCGTACTTTTAAGAAAAATTGAGGTTCTATCGTAAAATGAATTGATAATATATAAAATAATTTTACTTATTTATAAGTCCATGTAAGATTCCTCATCTCATCAATGCGGATTCATTCTCAAGACGCTCCTTCAGGTGTGACCATTTTTCAAGCTTAACACGTGGAATACATAATAAGGTGACGTAGAGTATGTGTGGTTGTTTGGCTGCACACGAGGACAACCTGTTCTTATACCACGAAGAAAGTTAATGTTCTACCATAAACCCAATTGGTAATATGAGAAGTAACCCTACTTACTTATAAATCCATGCAAAATTTCTCGTCTTATCAATGTGAAATTCATTCTCTTATACAGTTTGTCAACATTCCGCAGTGCGTCTTCACATTTTGAATTTCCACATACATGAAGCTCTTTCTATCTACTCCATCTCGGTCTTCCAGGTGGACTAAAACTCACAAATTTCCACATACATGTACTGAAAAATGAGCATCTTTGAAACTACGGCGTTCACACATGTAAATCTTTAGGGAATTATGTTCTGTGTTTTGCACAACCGGATCTTTATATATAATTAAATATGGAAAATGACACTTTGAAAATAAATTCAAATTTGTTCTCTAGAATTTAGAAGGCAACAAAAAATTGTATTCTCGTCTTAATTACTTAAAAACTAAAGCATGTAACGATAGATTTTTTCCAAGAAAACAAAAAATTATTATTTATATAAGCTTTCACACGAAACACACCTTGTCAGCTTTACACACTCTGCATTCACATTTAAACTTTCCATTTTGAATTGAAGCTGGCAAAGATGAGAATAGTTTGTTGTTTTTGTTGTGGTGTTTCGACCCCTAGTTTTACAACACAAAAATGCTGGCAAAGATGTGAATGAGGAAGAGATGCTAGTGGAGTAAAAAGTTCGACTATCATGCATGTTGTTAGAATAAAATTAATTAATTCGGAATTTTGTCTATGATTGAAGCACGTAATATAAAAATGTAATTTTTAATTATAATTAGTTAGGATTCTTACCTCAATAAGGGTTAATATAACCCTCTATATTGTAATATTTTCATATATCAACATAATAAGTTATAATTCTACATGATATCACTCGTCTATGTTTTTTTAGGTCCTACAGTTTCTCCTCTATTTTCATTCCCTACCGTCCCAAAAAAAAACAAAAAAAAAAACAAAAAAAACAAAAAAAAAAACAAAAAACAAAAAACAAAAAACAAAAACAAAAACAAAAATTGAACCTTTACATCCCCTATCTCCTCTCATGGAGTCATCTTCCTCTCCTCCTAGTAAAAACACTGCCAACTTCATTGAACTTTCCACCACAAACTATGTTGTTTGGGTT